GGTGGGTCCATCTCGCACGTACGGCGGGCGGGTTTGGTGGGACCGAGGGTGGAGCAGCCCTTGGTGTCTGCAGGCGGATCTGACTGTGGGTCTCGGGGGGGGTTTCTCCACAGGCGAACAAACTGGCTGCGAAGAGGAAAGCCCACGACACGGCCGTCAAAGAGGAGAAAAAGAAAAGCAAGAAGGCACGACAAGCGTGACGGGGCCCGGGGGCTCCCCGTGGGGGCTGCTGGATGGCCATGCCCTGCGGTCACCATTGCGCTGGGGTGAAAACCCCTTAGCTTTGCTCTTGGGACAGAAATGCTAAATTAAAACGTTTCCCATCTGTAAATAACACCTCCCACTGTGCCTTTCCCGAGGCTTCCCTCCACCGGTGCCGCTGCCTGGCCTGGCCTGGCCTGCGGGATCAGTGTCATCTTCGTGCTGGTGCCACCTCTGCTTCCTGACCTTGCAGGGGCGGTGAGCGAGGAAGAGGAGGCCAAGGAGCGCTCTGGGCTCTTGCAGGTCCCTCTGGGATTGTTCCTTTTGAGTTTGCACAGCCCTGGGTGGAGGAGCCGAGCCCCCACGGCGGAGCAGGAGCTCTCCGGGGCTGCCCGGCGCGGCGGGGCATTGCGGCGTGTTTTGGAGGCTGGGCACAGAGAGCGGGGCTTTGCCCTGGCTTTGGTGGAGGGGAGTCCATCCTCTGCCCAGGCTGGAGCTGCCCCATGGCATCTGTGCGGTAGGCCATGCTTCTCTTGTATTTTTTTTATTGTTAATTAAAGAAGGTGACGCTTCCCTGATGGTGTGTGGTGTCTGTTCCCTCCCAGCCATGGCGGGGTGGTGCAGTTGCGCTGCGCGTGGTGCTCTGCCCGGTGGTGGACACGGCAGAGGAGGTACGGATCGGTTCCTCTGAGCTGCGTGTGGGGCTGGCGATGGCTCCTCCTGCCCTGGGTGTGTAGGTACATCTGCTGGGATGTCCCTGCTCCAGGTGCCGCAACCCATGGGCACCGTGACTTGGTTTACTCCTTATCACCCGTTGCCAGTCCTTGTTCCCAGTAGCAGGTTTGGGTAGGGTCTGGTCTGGTTTATCCTGGCTGGGTGCCGAGAGCCAGCTCTGAGTCAGTTGTGTTCAACCAGGGGAAGCACAAAGTTCTGCCCCTGGGGACGAGTAGCCCCAGGCACCAGGACCTGCTGGGGGCCACCAGGCTGGAGAGCAGCTCTGTAGGAAAGGACCTGGAGGTCCTGTTGGGCACCAACTTGACCGTGAGCCACCAACATGCCCTTGGGGCAAAGAGGGCTAATGGTGCTGCATGTGAAGTATCGAAGGAGGTTGAGGGAGGTGATCCTGCCCCTCAGCACTGGTGAGGCTACTCGTGCAGTGCTGTGTCCAGTAATGGGCTCCTCAGTGCAAGAGAGACATGGACACACTGGTGCATGTCCAGCAAAGGGCCACCAAGATGATGCAGGGACTGGAGCATCTCTCCTAGAAGGAAAGGCTGCAAGAGCTGGGACTGGAGAAGACATGGTTCAGGGGGATCTTATCAGTGGGTATAGATCCCTGAGGGGAGGGTGTGAAGATGGAGCCATGTTCTTCCCAGTGTTGTCCAATGCCAGAACATAAGGCAACGGGCACAAACTGAACCTCAGGAGGTTCTTCTGAACTTAAAGAAAAACACTTCACCGTGAAGGTGACCAAGTGCTGGCACAAGGTTGTCCAGAGAAGTGGTGGAGTCTCCATCCATGGAGATCTCATGACCAGGGAGGCTGGACAAGCTGACCCTCAGAGACGCCTCCACCCTCCCCAGGAAACTGTTGGGTTGCTTGCAAAGGGGTAAGGCAAAGATTTTGGGGGGGGTCACTATCCCTCTTCCACCTTCCTCCAGCAAGAGGCCAGGGGGGGGCGATTTTTTGGAAGTGCAGGAGACGTTATTTTGGGGGCTCTTGGCTGAGATAAAGCAATGCATGGAGAAACTAGGGCTGCCATGGCTGATGCCTGGTAGCAACAGCATTATTCCTCACCCATCCTTTCCCCCAAATCCTGGTTTTTTCCCCCCCAAAACAGCCACCACCACCCCCCCGCCCTTTCCTCACTGGGGCCTACTTCCGGCCCTGAGGCCTGTTCTCCTGCCGGGGAGAGGAGGAGGGTAACGCTTGGTTCTGTGCAGGTTTTATGGTTTATGTTTCCCTTTTCTGGATCGTTTTGGAGGTTGGGAAGGGGTGTCCCAAGGTGGGGTGGCTTGCTGTGGGGGTTTTGTAGGGTTTTGGTGAGCGTGGCCTCGTTGGGGGGTGAAGGTTTGTGTCGTCTCGTGGGGCTTATCAGGAGGCCCTTGTCTCCAGCCATGGTGAAGGCTGTGGGGCCTGGTATCTCGTGGGCTCATTTATCTCATGGGGCTTTGTAGGGACACCCTGGTCTGCAGCGGTGGTAAAAGTTATGCCATCAAATGGAGGTTTTGTGGGGACACCTTGTCCCCAGCCATGGGGAAGGCTGCGTCATCTTATGGGGCTTTTCATGGGGACATGTCTCTGGACTTGGGAAAGGCTGGTTAACTCATGGGGCTTTTGTTGGGACACCCTTGTCGTCAGCTGGGGTGAAGGCTGTGGTATCTCATGGAATTCTTATGGAGACACCTTGTTCCCAGCTGTGGTGAAGGCCGCGTAATCTTATGGGGCCTTTCATGGGGACATCATGGCCCCAGCCGTGGTGAAGACTGGTTGTCTCACGGGGTGATATGGGGACGCCCTTGTGCTCAGCTGTGGTGGAGGCTGCGTCACCTCATGGGATGTTTTTGGAAGACACCCTCTTTCCCAGCCCAGGCAAGGTGAAGGCTGTGCCACCTCATGGCACTCCTGTGGGGACACGGGCGCTGCCAGCCCCAGGGGGGTCGATAACCCCCAGCAGTGAGTGAGAAACCGCACAGACAGGGAACTGTTGATAACAGCCTGCCTTTCTTTCCCCCTTTCCCCACCTTTTTTCCTTTTCTTCCTTTTTTCCTTTTCTTCCTTTTTTCCTTTTTTTTTTTTTCTTCTTTTCTTTCCCCCTCTTTTCTTTCCTCCTTTTTTTTTTCTTTTGCTCTGGCGGGTGGGAGGGTTTTGCCTTCCTTTTTCTTTTTTCTTTTTTTTTTCCCTGCTTCCTTTTTCCCCCCTTCCTTGACTTCACTTCTCAGAAAAGGAGGAGTTTCGACCACTTGAGAGCTCCTGGGGCTGCACCCAGAGCTGGGAGTCCACAACAGGGCTTCCCAACCCCACCGGAGCCACCGGACACCCACGCCGGGGCAGCAGATAAGGAAAGGGTGG